ATTATGATTATTATGTGACTAAAGGGGAAAGACTTATGGACTTTAGGAATGTGTTTAGTAAAGTTGAGTACTAAAAAGGCATAATCCTCTCTTAACTATGTCCCAACATTAAACACAAAGCATGTGACTCTGAATAAGCCAAAGATAGGTCAACAAATACAGGTAAAACATGACTCACGTTTACCACTGAAACTCAACCATTCATTCTGCAGACTGGATCTGCATTTTCTGAGGAACTAACAAAGCTACAGCAGCCAACTGTCACACAGGGTGGACACATTTTTACATGCATTCCAAGAGAACCTGAAGAAAGCAGTTGTCCTTTGTAAAAGACTCCATTAAGATCATTTAGGCAAGATACTCACGCTCAGACTGCTCAGGAGTCAGGACAAGGACGGTAACCGTGGTCGAGTCTGACTGGCCGATGGTGTCTGTGACGGTCAGCTGGAACTTGTACACTCCAGATGTCAGATTGGACACAACAATCTGGTCTTCAAAGTTGGTTTTCTACAAGCCATTGTAAGACAGCGTTTGCTTATTATCCACAAATATGACCAGTAGATTTTCAATTAAATGTTGGGCACAAATAAAGAACAATACAGTGGACATTTAAAATGACTATCAGATATGCAGACACAGGATTATTAAAAGCTCAAGTGTAACCCTCAGAAAGAGCTCTGGCAGGATCAGCTTTGCATAGCAATGTCTTTACTCACCTCAATGACAGCATAGAGGTATCCAGTGAGCATTTGCCACTGGTAGGACACAATCTTATCGTCATCTTTGCTCTCTATGCCGTTCAGTGTCACAGAGTCCTGAGGCTGGACGACCCGGTCCTGGCCTCCGATAGCAACTGGCGGTTGGTTGATGTCAGCTGGAGAGAGACCATGGGATATAGGTGAGCAAAAATTACAAAGCCAAATACAGCAGGAAACCTGAGCCTGTAGCAGGGGTCATAATGACCTGGCGTGTGTGGACATGCTGGATTGGGGGTGTCTGCTCCAAGCCTGTGGCCTCACACAACCTCATTAGGAACAGTGTTTTAACAAAAACCATTCAAATAATTAACAGAAATTATTTAGAGGTACTTAATTTGATTTAACTGAGTACATGAGCCAAAAAATATTAATTTGACTGCTATGTCAAGGGAAACTTGCACTTAAAAGCCCAAAGAATGTAAATCATAAAGGCAATTTCCATCATATGATCCCTTTCCATGATGTAAAATGTTAATCTGCAATCAGTCAGTTCTACAGAAACACAAAATAAAAGTATGACTAACCAGTGATCCTAAAGATAAAGGATCCCTGGTGCTATTCTCATCAACAGAGGGCCCAAACTCTGATATGCATCTTTACCTCGAGCCTCACATAGAAACACTGCAATGCAAATTAAACATTGAAAGTGTGTTTAAAGAGTTTTGGTCTTACTTGTGGGGACATCCAATTCAAGATAGCTCTCATAAACAGAGTCCAAGATGTAACTCATGTATCCTTTCTTCCTGACAAAGCGGCAGGCATATTTCTTCTTGTACAGGCAATCAAAGAGAAAGCAGGAGCTGACCAAGCCCTGCTCGGATCCCTTCTGCATGAGGGCCAGATTGCACCTCGGCTCTTTGCAGCAGGCGCTCACACAGTCCCTGTATCGGTCCAGTTTCGGCGACGAAATGAACGTGGCCCCGTCTTTCACTGATTCATCGGTATCGAGGACGAAATTTTCCCGACCTTCCTTGAATTGGGCCAAGCATGCCTCACCAGTCGCCTGGCCACAAGCGCAGTCTAGTAGAAACACCAGAAGCAGGAGCGCACACGCTCCTAGTTGTCCTTTAAGGAGTGGATTCATTTTAAAAACTCCTGTAAAGATCCCCACACGAATAAAATCCACACCAGTGCGACAGTAGCGAATAAAAATACCACTTATTCTTAAAAAAAGGCAATGTCTTTACGGAGTGTTTAGGCCTCACAGGGGTAAAACACTTTGCGTCCTCTCACAAATCAACCTTCAGCTTCTGACTTCCTCCTATGCAGCCACAAAATCGTTTCAAAACCTCCGCAAACGCTCTCCAGACAGATGTGATCTTCTGATCCTCCCCGAGTCTGAAACTCTCACGAAAGATTCACCTGTTTGATGTCGCCAAAAACCCGAGCAGTCGACGACATTACCCAGGTGACTCACCTGGGGAGATACAGGAAGTGAAATTCCACTCCTGAGATGCCACTCCCTTCAGGCTGCTATATGACGGGGGCTCCAAACAAAACGAGGACAAAGGACAGAGGTCTGTGCCTGTGTGCGTGTGTGTGTGTGTGTGTGTGTGTGTGTGTGTGTGTGTGTGAGAATGTAAAGCATCACTGTAAACACAAGGAGACATGTAGGTCAGCAGCATGGTTTCATGTTGTGACTTGGGGGATAGGGGCTCTAATACAGAGTGAGCTGCTTTCACACATTTTATTTTCCTTTATTACTTTTTGGTTCTATTTACTGACAAATTCAAAATATGTAGACCATAGCATATGGCATGCTTTTTGTTGTGGTTTTTCTCTGGTATGAACTTATATTTCTGTCACTTGTAACCATTTTGAGAAGTGCTGTATAAATATTTTAATATATTTTATTTATCAGTTAAAACAGTTATCATAACAATATTGTTTTTATTTATTTATCTAGTAATTTATTTAATTTAATTTCGTTTATTTTTATTTTGTCCATATTGGTGGTTTACCTTGAACCGTGAACCTTTTATTTGTGTGCCCCTTTTTCAGGGTGTGGGCTGAAGGAAATTCACCAACATCTACAATGAGCAATGGACCCTTTAAAGTTTGATTTAGTCATAATGGATTTCCCCATGAATTTTTTTTTATTTTAAGTCCTACGCAAACAGTATAATTAACACAAAGAACAGTCACACAGCAAGAGGACAATGCAAGTCTTTTACCAAATAGGATAGGTGATTAAAAACATAATGTACACTAAGTTTACAACATACAATGCACTCATGTTGAATTTAAAAGGCAAAATAAAGTGTAAAAGAAAATGACTACTTACTGTGGTATTCCCGATATAGAATAAATTGTCTATTATGTCATAACCCTTTTTTAAAAAAAAGTTAAAAAACATATTTGAAAAAAACTCTATTTTTGTAGTTTCTTTTAAGCAGTGAACATAAAATGCCTTCTAATGCAAGGTGACAAGAAAATACACACACGTAAAAAACATAAAACCACCAATATGGTTAAAATCAAATAATTATAGAAATGTGGCACATAAACAAAAAGAAAGGAGCAGAGAAACAAAACAAGGACACTAAACAAAAGATATGTCTGGTGGTCAGACAAGAAAGTGTCTATAAAAGTATATTAAGGCAAGATTTACTTTGTCCCAGCTCACTTGACTTCCTCTTTTAAACTCACTAATCCAGGAGGTGGCAGTATGATCCCATCTTCGGCTGAAGAAGCAGTGAAGGGTGAGCACTTTATTTTTAACTAAGAGGATTGTAAAACATGTTTTTTTTTGGGCAGATTTCTTTTCTCACGTACTATAAAATCATTAACATACGTCATCATTTAAAATCACAGGACCCCCATTTGTCTTTTCGCAACTGTAGTGATACTGATGATTCACACATTGAGTCATCCAACTACAGTGTGTGATGAGTCATGAAGCCGCTCGGGAAGTAATCCACAACCTGGTCTAGAGGTAGCAGGAAGTGGTTGTTGGAATTAGGCAATGTGGATGAATTCGTTTCATCATTTAGACTGAATCATAAATCTAGACAAGTTTGGCAAGAGGATAATTGGGCTTTGGGAAAACAAAAGCAGTGCCCACAAACTCTACAGCTCCCTGATGCAATACGATTTTACATCAGTAATAAAGCAGTAGAGGTCAAACTCATTTGCTGCCCCTGCTTTCCTTAACTTCCACCTAGAATGTGTCACCTGTCCGAGGTGAGACAGCCTAACATGGGTCTCTGGTGCACGTCCCCTTTTTTTAACCTGACGGTGCAGAACCAAGTAGCATAAGACGAGATGAATGAATTTGTTTGCCTGGAAAGGTGAGCTGCTGGAGGCACTCAATAATTCAGTGTTTGTAACAGACGGTGCATCAGTGGGTGAACACGCGCGGCTATGCCTGATTGATAGTCCCTGCCAAAACAAAAAACTGAACCCCATTATTCATATCGTAATAGGATCCGTGGAAACTCTGCGGCCCGTTGTCTCTGTTGTCTCAACTGTAATAATTTGGCAGCGGGAGGTACAACTATGAATTTCTGACCTTGGGTTTACGTGCTGCGTGTTGATATTTGACTTCGCAAACATTGATGGTTTCAAGGCTTTTATTTGACATTTAACTTCTGGAGAGCCATAAATAGTGCTCTCCTATTCATCTATTATTCATGGGTGCGTAACTGAGGATGCCAATTTGACTTCAAGGCTTATTAAACGTACACCTGATAATGCCTGTTATAAAGGGCAGGGCAGCTATCACACTAGAGGAACCCTGGCTCACCTGTCAGGGGGACCCAGCTATTGTTGGAAGTGTTTGTGAACACAAGAGCCCTTAGCATGCCAAACCCCTTCAAGTCTGTGAGCAGGCAAACACCTTCGATCCTCTTACTGAGGGAATATTTGAAAATATGGGTGGTGTGTTGGTATGTAGATGTTTCTTATGACAGGTATGTCTACAAATCATATGATCAGAGATAAAGGAAGATGCATATTTCTATATTTTATGGTGTTAGTACACATTTTGGCATCTTTTCAGCCAGAGTAATATCCCAACTTGATTGCCGTGGTTGCCCTCTAACCCTTTCTGCAGTTTTTATCACTGCAATTGAACTCTGCTCTCCCACCTGCTATAACACAAAGCAAAAAGCAAACACACACCCTATAAGGTGCATGTGCACATACAAATGCATGCAAAGACACACACGCGCGCAGAGGCATATCTCATTACCATCCTCCTGATAGTGCAGCCAGTGGGTGTTGCAAGAGGAGGAGGGAAAGAGAGCAAGACAGTGAGCTTGAGAGAAAGAGGGAGAGAGGACGAGGACAGGCAGAGAACCAGAGCTATAGAGAAGGAGAGCACGAACACTCAACAAGATAACAGGAGATACACGTGGGAACAGCTGCCCACTGGAAGAAGAGATATAGACAGAGCTGTGTGTGTGTGTGTGTGTGTGCGTGTGTGTGAGCGAGCTCCGTGTGTTTCCACGGTTCTCCTGAGGCCGTGGCAGCCATGGCGTCAGAGCCTAGCACCCAGTCCAGGGTGATGTTCCAGGCGACGGACAAAACAGAGGAGCCGGCGCATCGCAAGCTGGGCAAGCTGACAGTCAAATACAACCGCAAGGACCTGCAGAGGAGGCTGGATATCGAGGAGTGGATCGACGGGCAGCTGCACCTGCTGTTTGACTGTGAGGTACGGGGTAGGGTGGCTCACACTGACACACACTCGCACTGTGGTGTGTGCCTGAGGAGGAGGAGGTGAGGGTAAGGAGCAAGGGAGTCACTGAGCTGCTCAAAGGTGGCTGTGGCCGGGGCTATCCATCATGTTTAAGAGATTACAACGACCTAAAAGAGGAGTGGGAGGCGAGGAGCTTTGCTTGAAGGCTGCAATTTTTGGCACACAAGCCCTCATGTGTCATCAACCTGACTGCGGTATCAGCTGTGCGGTGTACTCCGTGGCGTTCTACCATCACGATAGGATAATTTTTCCAAGATAGGATGTCTTATTTACGTCAAAAGGAGGCTTGGTCGCAACCCTGATAATGCTTGATTACTGTAAAAAATAAGGCTGCCATATGGCCACGATTAAGTTGGTTTTACACCGTATGAAGTTAAATACATTCTAGGATCAGCAACATAGCAGGCAAACAATATCAAGAAGGAAGTCAAAGCACCAAAACAACGTTTATAACCGCGATAAAATAATAAAAACGGTGCCAGAGAAAGTAATAAAATATAAAAGCTGAAGAGCAGGATAGAAAGGGTATTTTATTTTGCAGTTTATATGTCTAGCTATTATGGTGGCATCCAGGACATTATGTCATCATTCTAGTGTGTGTGTGTGTGTGTGTGTGTGTGTGTGTGTGTGTGTGTGTCCTGTCTCTCCGTCTGCAGACACATTCTTGTGGACACAGTCACTCAGTAGTTATGCATGATAGAAACTACACACTCAGATCCTCCCAATATGGATGATGATTAATAATGACAGTGATTAGATGTTGGGGAAACTTGCTGTATAAACAAATATGCAGAAAAAAAATTCAAGATATGTAGTTCTATTAACACAGTGCATGTCAAATGTAAAAACAAGAGTCGTAATGTGGCAATGAGAGCTCATTATTTCCACACTGTGCCTAATTAATGGCCTCATTGCATAGATGGTAAAGTCGAGACACTGGCCAGCTCTGTCTCTCACACAACCTTCATAACTCCGCTCCTGTACAGTGGGATACAATCCAATTATGTCAGAGGCTCCATATTGATTTGCTTGGCATTCTCCGAAGGGAAACCATGGCAACAGATGTCTCATCGCCCACATGAGGCAGCATGGTACAGTGGAATTAGGGGTGTCTGTTGAGGAGCACGAGCTTCCTAATGACGACGCAGATTAGATGACAACCCCGCCGCCGCCGTTTCATGGCGGAGATGGCAGAGACAAACTGTTTCTCATTTAATTCTCCATCGACACAGAGACCCCTTGGCTGCAGATTGCCTGTAGCCACCACTCTGTTTGGCATCCCCTTACACTGCCAGGGTGCCCTTTGCATATGGCATACACTTATGCTGCAGAATGTGAGCATGCATCCCTATCCATCTGACTGGCTGCCTGACACAGAAGTTTACAGCACATCTAATGTTAGACAACTAGCCTCGCTTTTTCTAGACCAGCAGATAGTAAGGGTTAAGTCTGGTTAGCTAAAGTCACAGCTGATTGCCAGGCATTTTTAATATTGTGCTACTATATTTCTCATCCCACTTCTTATTTTATGAGCTTTATTCCATTCACATCCCAAGCCCTCTTCCCTGTGGTAATATATGATAATATGCTTGCACAGCTGAGGGTGGAATAAATTACATTAGTGGAAATCAGGACGTGTGAAAACAGATCTGAAGTCTTTCCCTGTGTACTCTTTTGATCTTGTCCCAGAAACAGACATTTATTTCACGTTTCCAGCACTTGGTCTCTCATGTTTATGAAAGATAGCAATAACAGTAGAAATGTCTTTGATTCAATCATGATAGTGCCTGACCTCATTAATATATATGTTAACAAGAGGACCTCCTCTATAAAGTCTATGTCCTTGCTATATGAAAATGAATGCTTTGCTCTCTACTCGGGATAGACTGGATATTTGCATTAGCCACTTGTATGGAATTAGTCGTGGCTCGTCCATGTGCACTGGCCAGTGTAATGAATTTTGCATGGGGCTCAGGGGAAGGTTACTCTGTTGGTTCTCTGAGTCTTCCGCGTGGAAGCATTTACCATCAGTCCCCTGTGTCACCACCTGAATTATTTAGACGCATCTCTAATTCATACAAGTGCTGCCTCAGTCTGGAGTGGCCGCCTTCTTTGCAAACTTCACACCTTTTGAGAAATGATAACCTAAAAAAAGGTGTGAAAAACAGCTCTCAGATGGACTCGAAAATGTTGAGCAATGTTTACGCATATGTGTGTACAGTAAACCAGATCATTGTTTTCCCAACTGACTCAAAGCTATTAGGACTTTCCATTAAATGCCTGTTTTATGTAAGTTAAAGGGATACTTCTCCTGCAAAAGGACGATTTATATATCAGTTAATCACTGTGTGTTACCTTAAATTTGTGAAGAAAATTTTGGTTTTTATGCATGCTTCTATGGTGAACGGAGAATCCAAAAAAGACAAACATTCTCCATGAATAAAATAAATGGGGTCCACCTTTAACAACAGCAAAACTTTATCAAAACATCTATTTACAAACTCTAAAACAACTCATGCAGTATAACCCAAGTCTCACTTATCCAGCTGTATCCTCAGCACTTCTCAAACACATGCATTTTTGCTAAAACCTTACTATTCAAAACATGTCAGTACAAACAGTCTCATGCATGGCAGAGTAGTGTGCCTGCACAGGCATGTGTTTAGATTTTGTGGAGCTCATATGCACATGCATGCACATACATGGTCAGGGCGTGCTCTTTGTAGGCGGAAATGTTTTAATCATGATGTTTTAGTGAAAATGCATGTGTTTGGGAATTCCTGAGCATACGACTGCATCACTGAGACTTGGATTATACTGTGAGCAGCTGTAAACAAATGTTTTTTGGATTTTCTGATCACTGTGGAGGCATGCGAGAAAAACAAAGTTTTCTTCATCCATTAAACGTAACGCTTGGTGAGTTATTTATGTACGAATAGTTAATTTGCGGGTAAAGATAGAGACTACAGGGCAGTAATTGAAGTCGAGATGTACTATAGACTCAGATTAACCACATCATGTTGTCATAATTTTTAATTCTCATTCAAAAAATTACCCCGCTCCTTTATAACTGGGCACCAGGATTGGATCTTTACACTCTTGTTTTCCCTCATTAAACTGTGTCATCACTCATTCTGTACAGTTAATGGATATTTTGATGTATGTGCAGCTCATGCCTCTGGCAGGAAAAGGGAAGGGTCTGATAAGTTGAACATGCACTGGCATCTTCTCCAAAACAGCTGGGTTTCCTGGGCATGGCTTCCTTTACATTATCATAGCAAACACATAGTGTGTGTAATGGAACCACAGATGTTTTGTTGTAGTATTTCCCAACATCATCAGTCAGTGAATATCATTACCTAACACTTAACATGTAAAGAGCGTCTCTACTCTAGCTGTTAACACAAATCTTTAAAGGAATAATTCCACATTTTGGGAAATATAACGCTCTGGTTGAGAGTCAGATGAGAAAATAGACAAATCATATATCTGTCTGTTCAACATGAAGCTAAATCCAGCAGCTGCTTAGCTTAACATTAATACAGGAAACACAGAAACAGTGAGCCTGGCTAGTTTTTATACTAAGATAACAGGGTGCTGGGTATGGCTACATATTCAGTGTACAGAAATGCCAAATTTTTGCTTTAAATAGTACCAAGCTGAAAGCCTAACACACTGCTAGCTGCCTCATTACAACTGCAGTATTCAAGAGGAGTCAAATGGAACAACTAAGTAAATAAACAAGCAAACATAAGACAAAAATAGGTCACAGATACACCAAATTTTTCACCCTCTGTGGATGATCAATGTCTACAACAAATTTCATGGAAATATGGCTTTAAGGTATCTTGTTTGTCACAAGTTGATAAATTGGTCTGCAGCGTGGGGCTGCAGGAAAAATTATGAGGGGTGACTGGAAAGTTTTGAGCCTAACCATTACCTGGGGTGCTAGGAAAGCCAAATGATATTTTTTATAATCTACCACCTTAAGTAGATTCTTGAAGTGAGTAGTGGTCAGTGATTTGTTGAAAATGGAGATACTGGAGTATCGTGCTGTGATCAAATATCTTTATCTCAAAGGAATGTCACCATCTGAAATCCACCAAGATATGCTCAATACTTTACATGACAATGCTCCTTCATATGCTACAATCCAATGCTGGGTACAAGAATTCAAGCGTGAAGAGTTCTTTTCCACTGGGATAAAGGCGCTTCAGTGTTGCCCTTGAGGGGGGTTATGTTGAAAAATAAAAGCACTGAAAAATCTGTATTTTGTTTTGTTTCCTTGAGGCGCAAAACTTTTAAGTCTCCCCTCGTACATAATGAGTCAATGGACCAAAATCCTTTCATAGAGAGCATGAGCATGTTCAGTAAACATCCTGATAATATGTCCATTATAATTTAAAATATGCTATGTGCTGAGTGAAAACTGACCTGATGGAGGTGACAGAGTAAAGATCAATGGGTCACCACTACAATAACTACGGGTCGTCTCCTGAGGAGCTTAAAGGCTCTGAATAAACTATTATGATAACCTGTTTGATAGATTTTGTACTGGGCTTTGAACTGGAACACAAGCGTCCCGTATATCCTGAAATGTCATGGAAATTCTGGCTTTCAGTCTGTTTTTTGCAGAAGTTAAGGGCAAATTTTTGACCTGAGGGTTGCCCTAGATTATGGGTCAGAGGGGGTCACTAAAATCATTAGGAACTGTTCACTGGGGGCCATGAATATCAATATTCAATTTCATGACAGTCTTGCTAGTAGTTTAGAAAGTGTTAAATAGGTTGATCGATAAATATCATCATGCTTAAGTCAATTTAAGTAAACTCTATTTATATAGCACAACCCTAAGCAAAGTAAATAAGTGATTCTCAGAAAACATGTTAAAAAGGAAAAAATAATTTTAATGATCAATCTACAACTTACTCAAATTTCAGTTCCAAACCTAAGGCGCTCTGACAGGAAAAACCCGGTCAGCTCATGATAATGATGCAACTTTCCTGATTCTGAATTAAAAATTCAAGTGGAGGTCATCTTATCTCAACAAAATCCAACTGCCTTTTGAGACTGCATCTGTACAGCCCGTCTTAAACTGCTCTCCTCCGAGAACCACTTTGATATTCATGAATTAGTTAGTTATTAGTGCCAACATTCATTTTAGCTTCAGTCCATTGCTTTTAAACTTTAAAAAGTGCTGCTGAGACATTTCTGCTCCAAGGCCTCATTAAAATGCTGTTTTCCTCTGACAATGAGGGTAACTCTCGACAAGCTGAAAATTGCTACTGCGTATGATATGCCATACTAAAATGTTACTGGAAGGGTCATCGTGTTTTTTTGTGTTAAATGCACACGTTCCTCTCATTGATATTCAGTGGTGCTCTGCATGGTCCTGCTGTCACAGACATACAGAGAGAACTTTAACCTCAAAAAGGAATAAAGGAGTATACCCATGTTCACACTCATCACTAATGTAGCACTTGGGTAGGCTTCACTTTCACATTCATCCTTTACTTACTGAATATGCCTCTCTAGATATCCATTTAGAGTTCAGTGCAATTAATGTGCATATATTATCAATCCTTGTTGTAGCTACATCTAGAAGCAAATATGGTTGTCCCTAAAATGTATAGTTGGATGCCAAAAAGGTAAATAGAATATACTTAATTTGACGGCAGAAACAACATTAATTACAACTCACATTCTTTAGGTGGGCTGCTCTAGCATCACCTTGGGTCTAGACCCAATGGAGAGTAGATGGCAAGCAAATTCTGCATGTTAAGTAAATAAGAAAACAATCGATTACGGCAGAAATGTATCTCTCTCTTCATATAGATCGATCAGCCAAAACATTGAAACCACTGACAGGTGAAGCGATGAGCTCATTACACTGCATTGTTCTGCTGGGAAACCTTGGGTTCTGACATTCATGTGGACGCCACTTGACACAAGTTACCCACCCAAACACCGCTGCAGACCAAGTACACCCCTCATGGCAACAGCACTCTTTGATGGCAGTGGCCTCCCCAGCAGGACAATGTGCCATGCCACACAGCAAAAACTGCTTGAGAATGTCCAGAGGAACAGGACATATAGTTCAAGGTGCTGATCTGGCTTTCAGACTCCCTAGATCCCAGTCCAATCAAGCTTTCATGGGGTGTACCCACTTCACAACCTACAGGACTCTAAGGATTTGTCGCCAACGCCAAGGGTACACCCTCAGAGGTCCTGTGTCCATGCCTCAACGAGTCCAAACCAAGAAGGCCCCACTGCCAGCGGGGAGTGCCGTTGCTTTGAGGGGTGTACTTGGTCTGCAACGGTGTTAGAGTCGGTGGCGCACGTCAACATCCACATGAATGTCAGGACCTAAGGTTTCCCAGCAGAGCATTGCATTGTCATGAGATGATCAATGTTATTCATTTCATCTTTCAGTGGTTTTAAAGTTGTGGCTGATCGGTGTATATCAATATATCTATAAATATATCCTACATGAGCAGTGACTGTTTAACAGGTCAATAAAGATATTCAGACGATTTCATTTACACCAAACAGTTTAAATCTGCGACCTAACCAACTAAAACACAAAGAGCACAACATAACCATCCACAGCCAGTAATAACCGAGGTAACTGAGTGAAGCAAAGCCCACACAGAACAGAAAAGTACAGCATGGACCAAAAAAAGACAAGCGTTCAGCCCTGCCTGTGTCCTGCAGACGTCAGCAGAATCACACAGGGTCCAAACCGGCAGCATGTATCAATTAGAGAGGGGGGCACAGGGGATTCTGAAGGTGGGCCCATCTATTCCGCCACTCAGCACTTCCACATTGATTAGCTCTCTCCTCATCCAGAAAGCAGTGCAAGCCCCATCCTCACCAGCCATGAAAACTCCCCAACCGGAAAATATTCCTCTTAAAAAGAGGCCCCACTTGTCAAAAATGAGTGTACGACTGCTGACTCTTGATATCTCAGGATTCCTCTAGTAAGCACTGTTCAGTCCTTCTGAAAATGTGGTTAAAAGGTGTGGATAAGAGCTTGTGATGAATTGATTACTTTGCTATATTGCTTTTTATAAGTGGAGACTCAGTGCCCTTCTTTACAGTCTTTACATGATGTTGGCATTAATCTTTCAATGTGCTGCCAGCTATTGTTTAGTTAAGGCTAACATTTAAGAAAAAGGGGTTTATATGGGTTTAGTATTACAGTCAATGCTGCCCTTGGGTTTGTATTTTAACTCTCAATATGGGACAACAGAGCTGAGATGAAGATATCCTTTAGAGAACATTTATACTGGAAATAATCTCTCAGTAATGGCTGGGCTAAATGCTAGCTGGGTAAACCATCCATGAAATCTGATGGTGTCATGTGGCAAGTATGGCCCCCTGGAGCCTTTTTGCTCTCATGCCTCAGTGCTCTTCAGCTTTGCCTATGCACGGAGCCCATCATTAATCATATCATTGTTATGAGAAATTATTAAAGAAAAAAAGTTTGTTGTTATTGCTACAATACAGCCATCGCTATTAACTAGGGTGATAAAAGTACGGTGCCAACTCTTTAAAACGTGACCTTCCAACGGCTTATATAGTACTATGCTGCTATGAAACCCTTGCCATGTTGCATCACATCTTGGATCACATCTTACACTCTCTTCTCCCTCTGAATGACTCTGCTCAGTGGTGTGGAATGTCTTACCACTGCGAGTAAAAGGATGGCAAGGAGCCCACATTATACATTTGCAAGAGCTCATGTAGCATGCAGAGATACAACTGTGGGCATTTTAGCATTAGAGGAATATTGCCTTTAACATTTGTTTCTCTCTGCTTTTACAGGAGGAAGAGATTCCAGAGTTAGAGATCGACATAGATGAGCTCCTGGAGCTGACAGATGAGGGGCAGAGAACCCGTCTGCATGTAAGAATGCGCAAATGCACTTGAAACGATGACATTCGCTTTGTCTGTATATGTTTAAATTGAACTATTTACTCAACCTCGCAGCATAGGTTGAGTAAATAGTTCAAGTTAAACTAAATCATTCTGAGAATACGTAGGCATGTTCATGGCTGTCACGTATACTCAATGGAAGATCTGTTGAACATCTACAGAACAAAACTGCAGTTCATCAAAGGGCATCTTGAGTCGCAAGAGTCCAACATTCAGGCTAAAGACTTTGAACATTTCAACACCCTGACACCTGGGTACATACCTAACTATTTGCAATGTAGGGTAATGGCTTAACAAGCACTCAACCCTTGCTGGAATCCAATGTTGCAATGTTTGCAGTGAAAAATCAATGTCCAATGTTGTTAGTGAGCTTATATGTGTTTGTTTTCTTTGTCAGGAGCTGTTGCAGGAATGTGGAAAGCCAAAAGAGGTGAGACAAAGAAAACTTTTAAGAAACTGCGCACAAGAATATCAAGATTCCAATAATTACTTAAAGGTCTAGTGTGTAGGATTTAGTGGGATCTAGCAGCAAGGTTGCAGAATTGAAACTTCTCCTGTGTTTCAAGTGTGTAAGAGAACTGAAGCGGCCATTGGAATATTTTAACAGCCCCAGTGTTTCATTTGTTTGCTCTGGGCTACTGAAGAACAACATGGTCTTCTGCCAACAGATGCTCCTAAATCCTACACACTGAACCTTTAACAGAGTAGACTATTGCTTGTCTATGCTAAAGGTTGTCGTGTGTGGCATGTAAAAGTTACACGCAGGAAATAAAACCTATTTTCTCCATGTCCCCTACAGGATTTTATCAACGGGCTGCTCTACAGGATAAAGGGTCTACGCAAAATGTCAGGTCCCTTGAAGAAATAGTCATAGGTCAAATAAAAAAAATCAAGACAATGTGGAGCCTCGTATCTTCCCATCTCCCTCCCGTTAGGGTTAGGGTTGACTGTAACATGTCAGCGGGACTCACTTCCTACCCTCTCCTTCCCCCACCCCACCCCCACCCGCTCGTCCTGGGTCAGCATCAGTCTTAACACCAGAGCAGTCGGGTTTTGAATGGATTTTTTTTTGTATTATTTCACTTTAATATATGGACTGCTGTAACATTTTGTCTCCCATAAACATACAAATAATGCACATGTGATAAAAGTTGTACTGACTATTACTCAGATGGACCTTTTTTTGTGTACATTTTCGGTTGCCTATTTATGTACATAAATATTTTTGTTCTGATAACAGTGTTGTATGTCGAAATAAAATCGAACATTTTCAAGACAAGGCTGCTGATGAATTCTCAAAAAAAGTCACAGTATGCTGTCATCAGGTATTATTCATTCAACACACACAAATGAATATTGACATGTCCATTACAACCATCAATTTAAGAGTACCAATGAAACAACCCTGTTGCCACAGTTGCTCTTTATTACTGCTTTAAAAGACAAAGAATGATTCTGTCCTACTGTCCGGAGACAACTGTGAGACTTTTCTCATTCCCAGAATATAAGCTTCTGTTTTCTGGTGTACATCTTTCAACACAGCGATGGAAACAAAGGAGACGTTGACATGTCAAGTCTAGGAGTAAACACAGTGAAATCAGCAGCAGGAAGGTCCATTAAGTATGCATCCATTATCCTAGTCCATTTCCTGTCTGTGGTGCGTGTATGACATGGCCAGACAAGGGAAACACAGTAACGGCCTCCATGCAAACCTTAATGGAGCAAGCCCCCAGAGGAAAGTGTAATTATGGTTTCTCCTCAGTTAGCTTGACAGTAATGCACACTGATGAAACTGCACTCTGGCCTTCTCTCTGTCATACACGGAGGGTCTTTCAGCTGAGGGCTCCATTATAGTAATTTGCTTGGTTCGTCCCCCCACTTCCACTCTCTGACACAGAGGCCATCCATACTGTTAAGACTAAACTTCTGACAAGGCCTGCCAACCTAGGACAATTTTATCAAGTGATGATATCAGTGGTTGAAAAAAAAAAGGCTTCAGTGTTAAAAATATACCTAAAGAGATGAAGTGACACAGCGCCTCACACTTTTGCATCCTTTATAATAGAATTACACACAAGGACAAGAAAGGCAACGCTCATGTCACACTTGCAGCCAAACATAGATTACAAGAGTGACTGCAGCGCCTGCCAAAAGCAAACAAAGCCCTCAGTAATCCTTTTATACTGACTCCTCTGTACTTCCTCAGTCCAGAGCTGACAGTAGTCTGGGATTGTACATCTTCCCAGATGAGCTCACGATGTAGCTGCTTTCTGTCTGTGCTGTCTTTTTTTTAAATAATCAAATGGTGACAAGTGCAAAGTGCATCTAAAATGAGCCTTTGTTGCCTTTTGGAAGTAGGACAACCAACATAAGAAAAACACTTCAAGCTTCTTATTCGGTTCGACACTTTAAAACTTTTTTGTATGCAGAAGCACTGCAGTTTTGCTAAAATACCAACAATGTCAAGCAGCATCTGCAAGATTCACTTACCTAAAAGCTAATTATTGATCCCCAACAGGGTCATTCAGAAGGTAAGTTAGGAGTTTTCATATCATACATATTACATTACATTTACATTAGAGTGTATGTCTATGTCTTCTCTTAGCTTTGCCATAAATCTGCTATTATATCTTATTTGTTTAGTTAATCTAGATCTCTGTTAGCTATTACAGAAAGCAGATGCTGCTCCTCCTGTGGTCTACACAGATGCATGTGTAAAGCCACTTTGGGCATACTGGATAAGTATTAGAGCTGCACCGAATAGTTCGAAGCTTCATTCATATTGTTGAAATTTGAATTCTTAGTCAGCATTTGAATACTGCACAGCCATTTTTTTTCTGCATGTCTATTCATTCCATTTAAATGCGGTATTCTTGCACAGTTGTGGATAAAGATGAGGCTACACTTATATTACGTCTGTAAGATTAGCTTCTAGCGGTGGCTGCATACAAGGTTTCCAACTTGTGTGATCCAAAATTTTCCAGTAACTCCAGAGTGTTGCAGAGTCCAAAGGTCAATTCCCAAAAACAACAACAACAAAAAAAACATGTTTTCATCTCACAAAATACTCTGCCTCAATCCATATTTGTCGAACTTTAGCCTTTCAAAAACAGCATTTACACTGTGGTCAAAAAACAGTCTGCTCACCCACTTGCTGCAATCAGACAAAACTGATGAGTTAAATTCATCAGAGGAAGTTAACTCATTTAATCCATTGGATCACTGCATTCAAATTGAGGAGGTTGTTTAAGAGTTGTTTTTTGAGGTTGATAACATCATGAAATATGGTGACGGACATTCGAAGCTTCATTCAAAAACCCCAATACAAGCTTTGAATGTAAATTTTAGAAATTACGTTCGGCACAGCCCTAATAAACTGGTGTTAAAATAATGTGTCATGGCTTGTTTTAGATGATGAGTAGTGTTCAATCCTGTGAGACACTGTTTGTGTAACAATTAATAGGTCACTTAAGTCTAAAGCACAAGTCTAACAGTGATAACTGACCAGAGCCTGATAAGGCAAACACCTGCTGCACTGTCTCCCTATCATGTCTTCCTCTTCTTCTTCGGCGCGGTGTAGTTACTGGTGCGATGCTCCTTCCTGTCATATTTATCATGGCCTTCCCTGCGGAGATAATGGAGAGTGGATTGATAATTCATCACAATAAATACTTTATATTCATGCTGCTTAACAGTATGGCAACAGCCTGTCTACGGTTTATCTGGGTCATGGTATGCATTCCAAATCACAGTCATCTTTCTGGGGCATCACAGCAAAGACTTCCACACAAAGCTCTGCTCTGAAGCAAAACCAGAATTAATATTGCTCTTATTACAATGAATATATGTTGGGCTACCTGAAGCAGCGGTTGCAGTATAGGTCTCCATCACAAGTATGACAGCGAAGGGTGGCGTCGTGGTTACAGATGCAGCACCATGGTAGCTCCTCCTCATCACTGTCTGATGGCTGATGTGCAACAGCAGCGGGTGAAATCCTACTCTTGGAGGCTGGAGCCTGGGTCTTTAAAACAGACATCAGCTCACAATTAAATGTTACTATCTCTAATACCTAAAAAATTTGGAATTTATATTCTATGTTCTTTAAGTACCGGTTTCTTTGAAGCTTTTTTCTTTTCTGTGTTCTTTGGTCCACTTTGTTCTAAAGGTATGTTGTAGCCACTGGCCTCATCCAATGCAGCTTCTTCAGAGAGCTAGAACAAAGGTCAGAAATACAAAAAAATTAAAAACAAATCCTCCTATTCACATTACAAATAATTAAAATGGCAAATAGCAGCCCCTTGTGGCTACTGAAACCAGTCCAGATAAGCTCAAAGTCATCTTTCAGAGTGTGATATGCACTCCGTGATGTTATCAAGCACCATGTACAGTAATATAATCTCAAATAAGACCCAGACCTGTTTTAGCACTCTCATCACAGCCTCTTCCTCAGTCTCCTCTTCACTGTCAGGGTGCTGAAAGTCCTCCATAGTAACTAGCAGTGACATGACAAGTACAATAATGACATTCACACTTCTGTCATAGCCACAATGATTACAGATAGAGCTTGTCATATTTTCTGACATTGTGATGGGAAAGTTAAGATAACCAAGATCTTTGTGCCTGATGTACCTTTGTCTGGGTCCTGCCCCTTCAGCCGCGCCATCCTCTTGGCCATTTGGAGGATCTGATCTTGAGTATGGTGCTCTTTCCTCAGCTCCTCCATAGCCTCCTCCAGGACACGGGCCTTCTCAGCCTCCAGCTGCTTGTCCACTTCCTGGTTCTCCTCCAAATTCTCATCCCATGCCCCTCCCTCGCCCTTGTTGAGATCATTCATAGCGCTATCTGCACCTGCAGAGGGATTAATAAGTTTGGGCATATTTGTATCTGACCACAGTCAGCTTTTAGTTTCAGAGTGCAGTCAGGATGTAATTATTATAACTGCGTAAGACAATGATATGACTGAATCTTTAATTATTAATTGAATCTGGGAGAAATCAATGAGAGGGATAATTACTGCATTCAGGATTTGATTGCTGGTCGTCTATGGCAACTTCCTCTGTCATCTGAGTAATCAGATCATTGGCTTGTTCTGTCTGAGTGCGGTTATCAGGAGGCCGGTGTACCTGTACAGGTGAGCACACAAGTCCATACTGGTAAGCAATTATAGCAAAATATAAATACTTCTAAATTGAATACTTTAAGATGTCCAGGGGCCAACTATATGCCCAAGATGTTAGAAACAAGTGGAAAGAGGCTTAGCTCACAGGTGGAGGAGCTTGAGATGGTGGATTCTGACCCCGTAGAGCTGCCAGACGGTCCTCCATCTCTGTTGCAGAAGGCACTGGCTGGCTGGGAGCTTTCAGAGCAGCAAGGCGAGACTCAAGCTCTTTTTCGGAGGGGACAGACTCTGAAAAAGATGTAAAAGGCTTAGGATGGCTTTCGTCAAGAGAAAAGATATTGTTACTATGCGTGTGAGATTAAGTTAAAAAATGGTGGCTGCTAAAAATCAAATTTCATTACTTAGTGTGGTGTCCTCCTTCAGCTTTTGAAGTCTCTCAGCGATAGCCTGATCTTCTTTACTCAGGCCTTTGGTTGGTAGATGGCCTGCCTTACTGTTTCTATTGTTTCCTTGTGGAAGAGGTTTTGCCGCCTGTTGCTGTTGCTTGGCCTCAAATGCAGCGACTCGTCTGGGACAGAAACATGAACTTAAGATATCATGAAAGTGCTGTAATTTTATTTTCAAATATGACTGTATAACTTACTGACTTTTTGTAATTTTCAGGGGGAGACCATCTTCCAGCACTGTTTGAAGATTCTCCACTAAAAATGAAGAAATGAAGATGAGCAACAAAGCTTGCTTATTAACACTAATTAATAATCACATTTAAATTCCTTTGCACGGTTTGACCTTTACCTTGTCAGATTACCATGGCACTGTTTGCAGACCTTCTGCTGGGTGTTGCCACAGCGAGGCACCACAGCACTGAAAGTTAAACAGCTGGAGCAGAAGGAGCGGCCGCAGCCCTTACAGCCCAGCTGAGAGGATATAGCAACATAAATAACAGATCACCTTCCATTAAACGTTTAATGTGTATGGCTATGTGATTGATATTAGCCAGCAAGCTCTTACCTCCTTCTTGAAGAGACTGAACTTTGATGCACAACAATAACAACGGTTGTCCATGCCGACACGTGCAGACAGTCATGAGACAGGCAATTATAATCTGACTGATATTGCTCTAGCAGGTAAATACGTAAAGAAAACGGACTCTATTAATA